GAAGACAATTCATTTTCGTAATACTTTAGATATAGTTAGGTAGATATAATATTTGTATTTAACTTGTTGAAGTATTGCAAAAGAAAAAAAAGAAGAATAAAAGAGAAAGTACCTTAGATAATAAATATATATATTTATTTTTATCGACTAACTCGACGCAATCAATTACAACAGCAAAAAGAAAGAAAGAAAGAAAGAAGGAAGGTAGGAAGGAAGGTAGGAAGGAAGGAAGGAAGCCATTACAAGGTTCTATTGCGTTCGATATTCATTTAAGTCGACAGCTATATTCCTTCGAGTGCATTTCTGACTTCCCCCTTGGTGCCATTAACGATCGTGCGCTTTCCAGCCCTAAAAGTATATCGCTAGCATTAAATTACAAACGTTTCGTAAAAGGGGAAGGAAGAAAATGACATCTCGATTATAATAACGCGTTTCAAATACTTTTTTAGTCAGCTGAACGGTATCGTTCCAATTTGCCAAAACGATTCAAGTCAATGGGGATAAATCAACTTTACTTTACATTATTATTATTTTTATTATAATTATTATTATTGTTGTTGTTGTTGTTGTTGTGCAAATAGTTTTTTATCGAAGAGACTGTTGTTTAGCTAATATTAATTATTTAATTAAAATATTATATTATGTTGTACTTAAAATTATTATTTCTCGGTTTGGAAATGAAAAAAACATGGGGGAAATGCATATATAAAATTAAAAATTACAAGACACACGAGAAATTTCTTTGAATAATTGAATTTAATGTAATGAATTTTCAATACCGTTAGGAACAAAGAAAAAGTAATAGAATGTAGAGAAAGGGATAACTGTTACGAGTGTAAGAAAACTTTTTAGCGTTTTTTTTATTCGACCCAAGTAACATGAGGGTGGTTTATGCCAGTAACTTAAGGGTAGCACACGCATTATGCGAGCTGGCATCTTACTGGGTTAGCTGGATGATAAAAGAAGATAGAATAAAGATTGAACAAATAGACGATCATAAGAATACTTAATTCAAATCTTTTTTTCTTTTTATTTTATTATCCACTATTTTCCGTTCGAATTTACGATTTAACGAAACTTTTACGTTTCTTATATAATCACATAACCTAACCTAACTTTATAATCTTAATCATTATGTATTGCAGGTTTGCAATAACCAATCAATAATTTTCCTGTTCTTGCTTTTGTTTATAATCTTTCTACTACCCCATATATAATATGTTGACCCCTAGTGGTCGTCAGATTATTATATTGATGATTCTCACTATAAGTTATAAGTAATTTCGTTAAATATTGTTCAGTATTATAATATAAAAATAATTTGTGTTATTTATCAGAAATTATTTTTGTTTTATTTTTGTTACATATATTATTTATATTATTTTTTATTATATATATAATTATTAAATTATTATTAATAATCTTTATTTGTAAGTCACTTACCATGTGACTGATTACGACCGATAAGGGTTAAGTTTACATAGATTTTCTCCGAGTCATGGGAAAATTAAGAACGTCATTTTCCCTCGATGCACAATATCTATACTAATTCAATCGAATTACTATCGTATACGTGACCAACATCGTGACACCGATTGATTTTACGTATCGTATCTCAATCTGTCTCTATTATCAAACGTCTCTGTGTTAGAATGATCAAATCCCCACATGCTCTTTGATTAGTTAACGTACTCTCTCTTTCTCTCCTTTGATTTCGAAAGAGGATAACCAAGGATGACTTAAATAAAGTCACAGTCCATCCCAAAGGGGTTTTCTTCCGTTTCTCTAATTTCCTATAAAACAATCTTCTTTCCTACCAAGTTAAAAATTACAATACAAATCATTTCGTAAATAAATTAAAATATTATATTTTATAAAACAACGAGGATGCTCCGGCCACGTGTTGCTGTGGCTTTGTTATAAAATATTGTTTAATAATACTAATAATTATATTAAATATTGTTTTCTATTATTCTAAACTATTTAGTAAATTATAAAAACACACAAAATAATATCACAATTATACAATGGAATACATAAAATAATAATACACGAAAAAATAGAAAAAGTAAGGTTATTTCGTATGTAAATTGAAATAATTTAATTGTAATACGACGCCATCTATTGAATACTTAAACAACCTAAAGACCTAGATAACCTATAAATAATAAATCCTTAATTTAGCAATAAAATATAGAAATAATCGCGATAAAAACTATTCTATATACTAAGTTGAACAAAGCACACAAAATAAAAAAAAATTTCATTAAGATCGGTTCAGTAGTTTCAAAGTTCATTTTAAACCAACAATATGACACTGAATTTTTATATATAAAGATAGTAATATTTGATTTTTATGAAATTCAGTAATCGGTCAGAAACTTTTGATAGTGAGTGTATACGTTCTAATGTCGTTTCGTATTCGTATATATATGTGTGTGAGGGAGTATGCGAATTTCCAGTATGAACGAAGATGAGAAGAAGAAACCGAGCGGAAAATCGTTTTAAACCTCACCAGCTAATATTAACTTTCTTCTATCGTTTTCGCGAAATTCTTCAACTCTTTCTCTCTCTTCTTCTTCTCTCTCTCTCTTTTTTCTATTCTCTTATCTTCTCTTCTCTCTACTCTCTGGTTGGTATACCCATTCTTCATTTCTTTTTTTTTCTTTAAGAAGCATTCGACCGAAAGGAAAGACCTCTCCCAAGCATCTATCTATACTGAACAGAAGCACAAGCAAGCAAGCAAGCCTTTAGGCATCTACCAAGTAGAGAAAGGGAGAGAGAGAGAGTGAGAGAGAAAGAGAGAGAAAGCTTTTGCGAGACGGCTCAACTATTATTTCGGCTTCATCTTTTGCATACCTTCGAGCGACGGTGCTATCGATACACTCATAGGGAGTCCTCGATAAATCCCTATTTGAGTTACCTACGAATAATATCTTATATGATGAACACTGAATATTTTATACGAAAGATATTTTATATTCAACAAAAATTATATTTTTCAATCATAAGTAATTCAATACACTTATTAATTATTTAATATCCTTTTTTTATAAAAAGTAATATCTAATACTTTTAACCTATATAACACAATATATTAATAATAATCTTTTTTTACTAATAAATTACACTATATGTGCTCATAATTATGAAACTGATCTAAGTCCATTATCTTCTTGTTTCGAGATATTTAAAAGAATTACATTTGAATGCTAAATGAATTCAATATAATATTGAAATAACAATAACTATTTAACGGTTCATTTGTTGACACAATTACTTTGAATTAATTTAGTTTAGAAATAATATGGTGTGAAATAAGCTGATAAACTTTTTTTTTTTCAAATTTTGACTTATACCACTTTCAAAATATATGCACATATATTAACAGGGAAAAGAAAAAGATCATTTAATTATCTTTATACAATTTATTAATAAAAACTATATAATTACTTATTATTTTATTTTTTATTATTATTATTTATATTATATTTATATAATATATATTTATATATATAAATTAATAATAATTTATTATGATTATATTAATTTAATAATAATTTTTTAAATATACAATCTTAATATATAACCCTTAATCTAATTTTTTAATTTAATTTTATTTAATTTTTTAAATATAAAATCTTAATATCCCTATTAATAAAATCTTAATTTAATAATAATTTATTAAATATTAAATAAAAAATATTTTTGTATATTTTTTTTTTTGGTATTATTTGTACATATTATATACCGTAATTAATACGATTATTGTAGATCTTTGAAGTTAGGTTATTTACCGAGGCGACGGAATAAAGAAAAAAACAAAAAAGCGACGAAGCGCGATGCATGCGATGCGACGCGATGCGACGCGATGCGACGCGATGCGATGCGATGCGATGCTCATCGGTTCAGTATTTTTAACGGTGTGTGAGAGGAGAGAGCATCATGGTGATGAGGTGAAGTGAGGTGAGGTGGTGTTGCACGATTTTACAGCGCAACAAACTCTCGCGTCTGTAGCGTGAAATGGTAATGTGCCTTCCGCTCATATAACCGACCCCTCACTCAACGATGCTCATAACTCATGCCGACTGGTTAACCGCCCTGCTAACGTCCTCCTCGTGTTACTGCTTGTTCTGTATCACGACTACGAGAACCAACACAACATTTAGAAGAAAAAAAGAAGAAGAAAAATAATTATCGATATTTGTTTTTTTCTATTATTATTTTACATTTTTATCATTTATTTCATTTACATCCTAATTATAGTAATAAATGTTGTTTTTTTTTACGTAGATTGTTTTTTTTTTGCAATGATTTTATTTTTTTCAATTTTAACGAAATTTATGTGTGTACATTGTATAACGGATATATACGTGTATATTGGAAGGGTTGAAAATGGTCAAATATGTACACGTGATAATTAAACAAAGAGCAGTCATATTACTCGTATAGGATAATACTCGATAGGAACGTGCACAGATAGATCGATTAATATGCGACTTCGATTTTATAGCGATTACGTTAATAGAAAAATGTTGACATCGATGTACCAATCGTTTATAAGTCGTAATCAAAGTTAACTAAAGTGAAAGAGAAAATATATTTCAATTCGTTTGTTTTCGAATCGTATGGGACTAATATTATATTTTTTTATTATTTTATTTTTCCAAACGATAAATCCGCAAATCAAATTTCCGTTCAATCACCAAAGCGTAGTTTAATACAAAACACGTGTACAACTGTATAGAAAGTATTTATAAATGAAATTCATCTGGCTGCATCGCACAGAGTTGCATCTAAATTTTCTTCCTTTCTTTCACACACGTAATTCTAATATTTTATTATCCATACTTTGTAAAGTAGAATTTTATTATTTAAAAATAGTTGCAAACACTATCATTTGTATCTACTTTTACTTTGATATATATAATATATAAAATCAATAAATGTGATAAATTTTTAACAAATTGTTTAATCAATCTTATATATTTTTGTTACAGCATAATGAACAATAATAGTGTTGAGCAGCCAGATCCAGACAATATAAAGATGTTCGTTGGGCAGGTACCACACGACATGGATGAAAACGATCTTCGAACGTTGTTCGAAGAATTTGGCAGAGTACATCAGATCAACGTTCTACGGGACAAAACTACTGGCAGTAGTAAAGGTAAACGAAAAATACGACATTTCATTCTTACAATCACAAAAACCTCATATATAATAAATATGCTTTAACGATATATCGATTTACAATACTATAAATAACAATTAATCGAATAAAAGACAAAGTATAAAAAAATTTACTACCTGATTTGTATAAAAAAAAGGAAGACGAACAGGTGAAAATACGTGGAACTAAAAGAACGTCTATCGAATAATCGACTATCGAAGAGAGAGAGAAAGAGAGGGGATTGTAGAAAAGGTGCTGTTGGGAGGGGGTTGGAAAGAGTAGAAGAGTAGTAAATGAAGGAAAGAGGGGAAAAACGAGAGTGTGTGAGAGAGAGAGAAAGAGAGAGAAAGTAGTCGCGTATACGTGGCACACGCGAGGATCGATGCCCAGACAGAGAGTAGAGTTGGTCGCTGGTCGCGCTTCTTCCACGGCCCTTCCTCGGTCTATTGATCGCTCCGAGAAAACCCTCCTCCACCCCCCACAAGCCCTGTCTCTCTCACTCTCTCTCACCCGTTTTCTCTAACCCTCTTACACCACCCTTTCTCTATTCCTCTTTTCATTCCAATTAATATCACTCCTATGTTCGGATATATCTTACAGATCTTTTCAGATCACACTAACACACATTCAAACACATACACATATATATACAGAAAGAGAGAGACAAGGCTGGTGTATCATTTATAGAATTTGTGGTATGGTACCATCTATAACTGTAACAATTTGTCTTTTTCTGTTTCAACATAAACCTAGAAAGGAATTTCTATCTATCGATCAATCATATATGGTCAAATTTTCAAACGCACTGGTTACTACTACTACTACTACTATTACCCATACGTCAAATGATTTTAACGTGGGAATTATACTCTCTCCCTGACACTATGAATTTGAATTGATATTAAATTAGTCATTGGTTTGACGCGCGCGAATGTAGACATTAATAACGTACGTAAAACTCAGAACAGGACACTCTCTCTCTCTCTCTCTGTCTCCCTTCCCCGGCATGGTGTCGTTAACCCCTTCTTCCATAGAATAGAGAAAGAGAGAGAGAGAGAGAGAATACGTCGAAATCCTCAGAATCCCCCTTGGAATAATTAATCCGCGCGAATTGTAAACGTCACCTGCACCTGTAAAATTGATGACAGTAGACGACGACTACGACTACGACGACGACGTATGGATCTCTCCCTTGCCCCCTTCACTCTCTCACTCTCTCTCTCTTTGACTCTCTCCGAACGTTCGGTATTCGTTCGCCATTGTGCAAAATTTAACTCGATTACCTCGATGTAATCGTAAATTAATGTCCCGACCCACTGACGCTTTTTCACGTTTATTTCCGCGGTATATACCCGGAGATCGAAAATTTCTAACCCTTCACCCCCCACCCAACCCCGGTAAAATTGGTAGAAAAGCGCAAACTCGCACCCACTCTCTCATACACACGCACACATATAGATACGCAACCTTTTTCTCTCGCTCATTGATATTTTCACTCTTTGGTTTTTATCGTTGACATATACAACAGATATATCTCACTATCTCATGTGGTGGTTTATATATATATATATATATAGATATATTTTTGTTTTGTTTGTTTCTTCTTTTACATGGACCATCCCTTTTTCCTAAATTCCCCCCTGCCTCTCTGTTTCACCCACTGTTTTCTTCTTCCGCTCATTCGGTTTTATTTGATTTTTTATTTTCACTAACGACACCGTTACGAGATATCCATCTATATGTATATGTTTGCGATAGGTAGATATATAGATACATAGATAGGTAGATAGATAGGTGTATCGATCTTTTATCTTACCATTCAGTTTTTTGGTTAAAATATGTAATAACGATAAAATATTTGACTGAATTATTTTCTATTATTTTATCTGTTTTTCGCTAACTTTTGTTGAACGATCTACCGTTTGTTGATTTAATTTTTTTGGGAGGAGTTTTCTTTCTATTAAATATAACACAAAAAATAAATAAATAAAACAGAGATATTTAACGTGTGACTTCGTAGAATTGATAAATTTTACGTATAAATAAATAATGAAATAATACGAAAGGGTTTGATTCAGCTTGCAGTATATGCTACGTTAACAGAAAGAGGGGTTGGGTAAAGTTAATACGAGAAAGAGAGAGAGAGCGAGAGAGAGAGAAAATAGTACCGGTTGGTCAGGTACAGGTGCCTGGACACAGACCAAACAGTAACAGAAGTAGCAACAGCAGTAATGGCAGCAGCTCTTCGTTGATACAACCCCATTCCAAAGTAAATATAACAATATACGAGTCAGTTTGAACACTGCAACGGATATAGGGTTGTTCGATTAAAAAGAAAAAAAATACAACCTTTTCTCTGCCTTTCTTCAACCACCCCAACTCTCATCCCTCAAATCATTGAGGAACGTTCTATTTATTTTTTCGAATGTAGAAAAAATTTTATCTGCATTTTTTCGCACGACAATATTCAAAGTGTTTCTTTGTACTTTGATTGAGAAAGTAATAGTGATCTAAAAAAAAAAAAATAAATAAAAATAAAAATTGTCGTTTTGAAAAGATTTTTACGATTATCGATTTAATATAAAATATTTTAACAAAATT